TTTATCCAATTTTGTATTTCCCCCCTTTCTTACATAAAGGTAGTATACTACCCACACTGGCTTGGGCCTTGAAAAGAGGGGTATTTCATTTTCAAAATGCTACTGACTTCATATAATCACAATATCCACTTCTGTGTTCCAACTAGTTTATTGGTAAAAGTGAACACAAGTCAAGGCTTTACAAGTATTTTGTTCAGATGTGCAGAAAGGACTAGCTCTCCTGCCTGGAATGGTGAAGGAAAGCGCAGCCAGCCCCTTGAGCTCAGGCTGACTCTCGGTGTTTCTTTGGAGAGTGTTGCTTAGTAACAGTTGCAGGGGACACACATAGACAGGAGATGAAAGAAGGATGAAGGAGATGAGGGAGGGCGCGTTTGTTTTCTAGCATGCCCCATGAGTGGGAGCAGTGGGAAAAATCTTTAGATCTTTTAACCACCAAAATCATGCCTGCCTACTGCAATCAACAATCTAAAGTAAAATAAAGAAATCAAGAAATTAAGTGAAAAGTCAATCTCAATCTCACTTTCCCAAAGTAAGGATCATTAACAGTTGGGGCAGTAGTTTGCCCCATTTTACAGGGGATTAACATGGAGGCAATGGGCAAGGAAGCATTCTTCTGGGGTCCTAAGAGACACCCACTGGGAAATCAGGATTGGGGGGTACTCAAGGCTGGGCTGCTCACAGGTCCTGAGAAGAGGGCAGTGCAGGGAGCTGGGAACAGGGAGAGGGGGCTGGTTCCTGTGAGCAAGTGGCATCTGTTGCCTATTATCGGAGCAGAAATCCTAGCACTTCTGCTCACTGAGTCTCGTTACTGGAGTTGCCAGGGGAAACAGCACAGTCAAGCCCGGGCTACTCCACTTTACCCATATTAGAGAAGAGCAGTGAACACGGCTTCAGTGGTGGGTGTCGGTCCCCATGGTCAGCAGGTCCCTCCCAGCAGTGACCCAGGACCATTGGCCCGCACACACCTCTCTGTGCTGCAGCAGCAGGACCTTGCCCCTCCCCAGCGGGAACAGATATAGTGGTGGGCTTGGCCAGGTGCCATGTGATGCACACGTTAGCAGACTAAAGGAATATACATCAAGTCTAAACAGCAAAGATGCGCCCATGCAAAGTGACAAGTCCACCACAGGCTTGAGAATGCTTTAGCTCTTTGTGAGGAACGTTCCAGGCCCATTCTCATGTGGCCTCTCAGAGCAGGCAGAAAGGTTGAGGCTGTCTTTCCCAACGGCATGTTCCCCTACTCTCAGTCCACTCCAGGCTGCCTTCTCTCGCTTCCCATGTTTGCCACATTGTGGTGTCCACATCTGTTCTTAGCCCTTGAACAACTCTGAACAAGGACAGTCTTTTGTTGTTGTTCAGACAGGTGTGGGCCAGGCTGCAGTGCAGTGATGCCATCTCGGCTCACTGCGACCTCTGCCTCAAGAACTCAAGCAATCTTCCTACCTCTATCCCTAGTAGCTGGAACCACAGGCATGCACCACAATGCCTAGCTAATTTTTTTTTCTTTTTTTTCTTTTTTTTTTTTTTTAGTAGAGACAGGGTTTCACCATGTTGCCCAGGCTGGTCTCAAACTCCTGGTCTCAAGCGACCTGCCTGCCTTGGCCTCCCAAAGCGCTAGGATGACAGGCATGAGCCATCGCGCTGGGCCAAGACGGTCTGCCTAGGACAAACCCAGGCCTCACAGGGCACTGAGAGGAGCATTCAGCAAATCCTTAGTGAAAAGGCTATGCTAACCCCCAATGCCAGCTCTTGCAGGGGTATCTGGATGCTTTCCTGGTGGCTTGGACACCTGATGAGACTAGAATGCAAGCTCTAGTGCCTCTGTCTGGGGCCTGACACATTGGGGGCTCTCTTGACTACCTCAGGGAGTTGCCAGCCCTCACTGACTGCTGGCAGCTCTGGCCCCAAGGCTCATCAGCCCTGTGAGAAGGTGGGCAGCTGGGAGGGGGAAGTCCTGGGTACTTCCTGGCCTCCCCAGACAGGCCTGAGGTCTTGGGGAGAGATGACTGGAAATTTTCTCCAAGGAAAGGCCCTCTCCTCCTCTCTCTGAAGCAGCACCAGGGCCTCAGCCACCCTCATTCCCATCTGGCCCTGATCATACCTGACTGAAGTTCAGAAGGGAAGGGCAGCAGTGCTCGGCAGGTGAGGACACACCTTAGCCAGGGTGACCCCATGCACCAAGACATAAGACAGGGCCTGGCACTTAGTAGGTCATCAGTAAATGTATGTTGGTATATTTAGGTCTGGGGAAAGGGGTGGCCTTGCAGGTGGTGGAGGAGAGGAAAATGTGGGGAACAATCTCTTGTCATCTAGGATGACTTGTCAGCAGGCCTAGCACAGAGAGGATAGGATTTGGCATCAGATACAGATTTGAATCCTGGCACCACTTCTTAGCTAATTAAAACTTGGGCAGCTTATTTCATTTTTAAAAACATTATTGTGTATGATTTACATGTCATAAAACTCACCCATTTTAAGTGTACAATTCAATGACCATATGTACGGAGTTGTGCAAACCATCACTGTGATCTTATTTTACATCATTGCCATGGCTCCAACAGAAACTCTGCGCTCTTCCCATTGCCACCACAGTCCCTGGCAACCTCTATTTCTGTCGCTATAGATTTGCATTTTTTGGACATTTCATATAAATGGAATCATATAATACATGGCCTTTTGTGACAGGCTTCTTTTACTCAACATGTCTTACAGGTTCATGTGTCTCTACTCTTATCTCTTTTACTGCTGAGTATTCCATTGTGTGGGTGTAACACATTTACCCATTCACCAGCTGATGACCAATTGGGTTATTTCTACCTTGGGGCTACTTAATAGCACTATCATGAACATTCACAAGCAAGTGTTTCTCTTCAGTGTATAACTTGGAGTGAAATTGCTGAGTCATTTGGTAACTCTTTTTTTTAAGAGGTAGGCTCTTGCTATGTTGCCCAGGCTGGATTTGAACTCCTGGGCTCAGGCCATCCTCCCTTCTCAGCCTCCCAAGTAGTTGGGATTACAGGCGTGCACCACCACACCCAGCTTATTGAATCTTTTGAGGAAGTGCTAGACTGTTTCCCAAAGTGGCTGCATCATTATACATCCCCACCAGCAATGCACAAGGGTTCCAATTTCTCCACATGCTTGCCAACATTTGCTATTATTTTTTTTAAACCAAGAACAGTCATACTTGTGGGTGTGAAGTGGTATCTCATTGGACTTTGATTTGCATTTCCCTAATAACTATTTTAAGATTGAGCATCTTTTCATGTGCTTCTTCACCATTTGTTTATCTTCTTTGGTGAAATGTCTGTTCAAATCTTTTTGGGCAACTTGTATTTAACTTCTTTGAGCCTCACTTTTCTGGGGAAAAAAAAATTATATCCAGCTCCTAAGGCCATGAGATTGTATGTGAAGTGTCTGCAAGGTGCCTGCCACATACTGGGGGCTTTAAATGAGTTTTTAGTATTGCATTTGCTGTGTTGGCCCAGAAGAAGGACTTCCCATGTGCTCTCAGTTTTGGAGTTAGAACGGGGGCTGCCCTGACTCAGTGGAATGGAACAAGGCTCTCCTCTCTTCTCAGCAGGAGGGTAAAGGAAGAACACCATTTACACAAAGGGGCCATGGTGTTCCAGATGTTCTGTTGAGCACTGCCACACGGTCTCATTTAACACCCACCACAACCTTTTGATGAAGCATGGGCTCCATATTTATAAGGGATGAAACCCTGAGATCAGATAAATTCGGTAACTTCTCCAGGGCTGTGGAGTAGAAAGCAGGGGAATCTAAGATTTGAACCCAGAGCTGATGCTGATGCCAATGCCCATGCCTTTTCTTTTTTTTTTTTGAGATTGAGTCTTGCTCTTTTACCAGGATAGAGTACAGTACGGTGGCACAATCTTGGCTCACTGCAACCTCTACCTCCCAGGTTTAAGCAATTCTCCTGCCTCGGCCTCCCGAGTAGCTGAGATTACAGGTACACACCACTATGCCTGGCTAATTTTTGTATTTGTAGTAGAGACGGGATTTCACCATGTGGGCCAGGATGGTCTCGATCTCTTGACCTCATGATATGCCCACCTTGGTCTCCCAAAGCGCTGGGATTACACACATGAGCCACCGTGCCCGGCCTCCCACGCCTTTTCAAACAGCCCTGCTGCACAGGCAGGGAGCTCCCGGGAACAAGTACCAGGCACACGCTGGCCTGCCTAGAGAAACACTGGATGTCTGGCTGTGTGAATGGCATGCCCAGCTACTTCTAGGAGGCTGCAGAATTGATAGCTAAGAACACAGACAGTCCCACCACTGACCAGTAGTACAACTAGGGGTAAGTTGCTCATCCCTCTAGGCCTCGACATCATCTTTTTTTTTTTTGAGATGGACTCTCGCTCTGTCACCCGTGCTGGAGTGCAGTGGTGTGATCTCAGCTCACTGCAAGCCCCGCCTCCCGGGTTCACGCCATTCTCCTGCCTCAGCCTCCCAAGTAGCTGTGACTACAGCCACCCACCACCACGCCCGGCTAATTTTTTTTTTTTTGGTATTTTTAGTACAGACGGGGTTTCACTGTGTTAGCCAGGATGTTCTCGATCTGACCTCGATATGCCCGCCTTGGCCTCCCAAAGTATTGGGATTACGGGCATGAGCCACCACGCCCAGCCAGCCTCAACATCTTCTATAAGGTGAGAAAAGAACAGTTCTTCCTTCAGAGGGCAGCTGTGAGGATCAAATGCTCAGCAGTGCCTGCCCCACAGCGAAGCAGATGGCTTTCTCCTTTATTCTGGGCTGCTGACCCACAACTCATGCAGCCCACTTGGCTCTTCCCTGTCATTAGCTTTGGCTCATTCTAGAACAACACCTTGATCCAGACCAAGGGCCTGGCCCCTTATTCCTCTCATCCCTACTTCTAGCCCTCGGACAGTGCTCTTGCAGAGAAGCGGCGAGGACCTCACAAGGGCGTCGAGTTCTCCAGGATGATTATTTAAGATTAAGCCTAACAAAAGCAAGATATTTAAAAATAAACTTTATTAAACTTTATTAAAGCAGTTAAACTTAGCATTAAATGGTACACCTATGAAGCAAGAGTTAAATATAAACACAGTCTAATCCTGTACACTTGTGATGGTGACAATCTTAAGTTGCTCACTTCTTTCCCATTTACCAATTCAGAGAAAAGCCCCTTTCCTATTTTCTCTCTCACCACTTTGCCTTGGCATCAAACTAGCCCTGCCTTGGGCTTCAGCTGCAGATCCTCCCCAGCCCTTCCTCCCAGCTGGGCTGACTCCAGTCCCAGCCCCAGCTTCCGCCAATTGAGTGGGGTATGCAGGGTTGTGTCTGGCTTCCAGCATCTACCACCCCTTCAGAGCATCTTCCAACATGGGACAGGAGAGGAAGCTCACACTGCTTGGTCTGAACAGATTTAAGGAGGTTTTATCACAAAGCCCTGAAAACTACCTGAGCCTGCTTTCTCCTTGCAAAGGTGAGGAGGAGCAATGGAGGGGGTGGGGCAGGGGCTCTCAACTGAGGGCTCTAAATCACAGAGGGGGTAGACGCTGCCTTAGTCCTTCTTGCCACCCAGGGCCAGGCTTCTTGTAAGGAGCTTCCCTGGGCTGGAGGGGGTCAGTGTGGAGACTGTGGGGGATTCCAGCTTCACTCTGTCTAGGAGCGTCTTCTTAAGGGCAGCTGGGGAGATCTTTTCTTGGTCGGCCATGGACTGTAGCTCTCTGTAGACAAAACCCCAGAAGGACCGAAGGAAGACAATAAGCCCTGGGGCCAGAGCTTTGAGTCTCCACTATCCACACAACCCTCAAGCTTGTTGATCTGACACCACCAAAAATTAGAGCCCCAAGGCAAACACTTCCCAACTAGTACTTCTAAGAAGTACTAGTTAACTAAGTATGGGTTTGTCTTATTTATCTTGTTTGATCTGAGCTAGACATAGAGCCCCAAGTGGTATCTGTGATCATATGGGGACAGTGACAGGGTTTGGAGTCATAGACTCAAATTAGAATCCTGTCTCCATCACTTTTTAGCTGTTTGACCTTGGGAAAATTGTCTCTGAGCCTCAACTTCCCATCTATAAGTCAAAGTTAATCCTAGCTATCTGAAATGCAGTGAGAATTAAGTGAAGTAAGGCTTGCAAACTCTTAGGTAAACAAAATCTACTAAGTTGTGGTTATTAACAGAGCACAGACTCCAGCACTGCTAAATGGGACCCAAGACAGCAGGTTCTGCCAGTGGTGCTCAACCCAGCCCAGGGACCAACTAGGAGTGAAGGGCGTGGGACAGAGGTCAGCGGGATGGACTCACCGTGTTCGGATACAGGAGGCCTCAACTGCATTGATGAGCAGAGAGCGGAAGCCCCCACTCTCCAGAAAGTGCAGGGCGTGGATGGTGGCTCCCCCAGGGGAGCAGACATTGTCCTTGAGCTGGCATGGATGCTGCTCTGAGTCCAGCAGCATCTTGGCAGCTCCCTATGGGGAAGGGCACATAGGAGAAAGCTGCTAGTGTACTTTGGAACAGGCTTCCCCACACCCACTGCTCCTGCCCAACTGCTACCCCAGCTTCCCAACCAACTCCCGCCCCAGCTCAGTGATGCACAAGAACCCCCATTCCACACCCTGGTCCTGAACATGCGGGGGAAAGATACTGACCAGCAAGGCCTGGGCCCCGAGTCGGACTGCCAGGCGCCGTGGCAAACCCATCTTCACCCCACCATCAGCCAATGCATCCAGAGCCATGAATGCCTGTGGAGACACTCACTAAGACCCAGGCCAAAGGCACGGAAGGACCTTTCCTAAGGTCTGCTTTCTGATGACTGGAACTAGCTCCAAGGGTCAGCATCCTGTACCAGCCGGCTGTGCCCAAGAGGTGGGCGCCACCCCCAGTCCAAGCCTGCCTGCCAGCCCAACTTGCTGCCTGGGTTCCTGGAAGGCTGAGCGAGCAAATGAGGGCCTCACATAGGCAGGCCCGCTGCCACTGAGCCCCGTGACGGCATCGATGAGGTCCTCTTCCACCTCAGTGCAGAAGCCCACGCTGCTCATGAGTTGCTCCAGGAGCTGCCCATCCTCCACCAGAGCATGGGTGCCCATGGCGTACACTGTAGCGCCTTCCCGCACTACCACAGGTGTGTTGGTCATGCAGCGAATCACTTTGGGGGCTGGCTGGAACGCCATCAGCTTCTAGGGTGAGGGAGAGAGTCGAGTGAGTGGCCAGCGCACAGCTCCCATCAGCACCCACCCATTAGCTGCCATTCCTGGGTCAACCCTCCCCTCACACAAGGGGCATCAGGGCTGAGATGGGCACCTTCTCCACAGAGCTGATGGTGACACCAGCCGCACAGGAGACCACGATGTGTCTGGCTTGTACATCGGCCCCAATCTCATCCAGAATGAAGGGGATGATATGTGGCTTCACGGCCAGAAACAGGACGTCGCTGTGCTTCACTGTCTCCTTGTTGCTGCGTGTCAGGTTCACACCCATCTTCTGCAAGAGGAAACTCCCAGCTCACAGTGCTGGAGCAGCCTGGCTATGCCAAGGCCTCCCAGGGAGCAGCTGAACCCCTGCCAAACCCATTCTGCCAGATGCAGTCTGGAATTCTTAGCTGTATGCCCTCAGGGTTCTGCCCCTATCCCACATGATATAGTTTCCTATTGTTGCTACTGGACAAGTAAGCATAGGCTTGGAGGATGACAAGCTTCTCCATGGTAACCACGAAGTGGCTGCCCTTCTTCCCTGCCAATCTTCTGGCATCTAAGGCACTCCTCTGCTAGGTAAGAAGGCCCTATGATGAAAAGTGGCAGGGCAAAGGGAAATGCTAATACCTGGTCATCAGAAGAACAGCTGAGTCAGGCCCCATCCTAACTCTGGCCGCTTGTTCGTGGGGACCACACAGTCTCCACGCGGTCCAGGGCTAGGCTGGAAGTCATCCATTCCTCTATGACTCCAAACTGAGAAGTAGGACCCTCCAGTGCTAGGGACATCAGCCCACCCTAGGCACAGACACTGCCTGTCACCTGCCTCATCAACCATCCTTTCCCACAGAGCACAGGTTTTGGGTGAAGACTTGGAATATGTTTTTGGAGAGCAGAACAACTAACTCACCAGATTCTTCCCAATATGCTCATTCACAACTCAGAATAACAGCAAAGTGGCCACTGTTGTAAAATGAGGAAATAGCCTCAAAGTAGCTGAGTACTTTAAGGTCATACAACTAGCCTATTAAGAAAAATGGCTGAGTGTGCTCACCCCTGTAATCCCAGCACTTTGGGAGGCCGAGGCGGGCAGATAATTTGAGGCCAGGAGTTTGAGACCAGCCTGGCCAACAGTATTCTCTACTAAAAATACAAAAATTAGCCGAGCGTGGTAGGTGTCTGTAATCCCAGCTACTTGGGAGGCTGAGGTGGGAGGATCGCTTGAACTTGGGAGGCAGAGGTTGCAGTGAACTGAGATCGCGCCACTGCACTCCAGCCTGGGCGACAGAGTAAGACCCTGTCTGAAAAAAATTCTTTTTAAATGAGTGTTTAGGCCGGGCACGGTGGCTCAAGCCTGTAATCCCAGCACTTTGGGAGGCCGAGACGGGCGGATCACGAGGTCAGGAGATCAAGACCATCCTGGCTAACACGGTGAAACCCCGTCTCTACTAAAAAAAAAATACAAAAAAAAACTAGCCGGGCGAGGTGGCGGGCGCCTGTAGTCCCAGCTACTCGGGAGGCTGAGGCAGGAGAACGGTGTAAACTCGAGCGGCGGAGCTTGCAGTGAGCTGAGATCCGGCCACTGCACTCCAGCCTGGGCGACAGAGCGAGACTCCATCTCAAAAATAAAAATAATAAAAAAAAAAAAGAGAGTTTATTGGGTACCTACTATGTGCCAGGTACTTTCATCATATAATTACCTCAGTTGATCCTCTACCACTCCAGTGTCTGGATCTGACCCCCAGTGTGTCTGCTTTGGTGTTCCCACCACACTGAGCTGCCCAAGAGAAGGTGGAAAGCTTGTGATGTTCCTGGAGTGAAGGTCACCGCCGGCCAAAGACCAGCACTTGGGCGCAGGGACGGACGGACGGACTCACTTCATCTCAGGTCATCCTTTTCCAGGGCCTCCACCCGCTTCCCACTCCGCCCCGCTCCACCTACCCTGAGGGCCGACACCGTGGGCAGGTTCATTTCCGGAGAGCTGGCTATTATCTTGTGAGCCGACACGATACCTGCAGAAGACAGAGCTTTTTAACTAGGGGTCGCGGTCCAGCCCGTTATCACGCTTTCCCTGGCTCTAAAACCCAGAGCCGCCCTAACAGTGCCAGTCTGCCTCTCCCCATCAACCCTCTACGAGGACAGAAGACGCACTTGCTGCTCAACCAGAGTCTCATCTACCCCACCGGACGCAAACACCCCTTTCATTCTCTCATGCCGGTGGGGCGGAGCCCCACTCGGGCCTCGGGACTGCCCGCGAAGCCGCCTCCCGCCTCCACGAGCTTGCCTGCGGCCGTGAAGCCCCGCGCCAGAGCATAGGCCAGCTGGCCGGCTCCGATGATGCCCACGCTCATGGTCCGCGGCTCACACCTCCTGGCAGCCGCAGGAACCTCCTCAGCGCGGGCCCGGAAATAACGCTAGGGGAAGGGCGGACAGCGCAGGGGCCAACGGGCGGCGCGCCGAGCGAGGGCGGGCTAACAGCAGTTTCTGGGATGGTGCAACACTGGACTCCTCCAGCAGGTATCTCCCGGGCCCCTTAGGCCATGTGGCCCCGCCCCGCCGGACTACTAATCCGCAACCAGGATCTCGGGGCGGGCCAATCCGCGGCCGCTCACGGGCCGCGTATCCGCCTCTTCCGCTCGCAACTGGAGGGCGGAACTCCGGGCTCTAGTCCCGGAAGCTCCTGTGGCAGCTAGGCGTGAGCTTCCGGCGCCCGCAGGCCAAGGGACGCCAGACACCCCCCCCCCACCTCAAGGCTGAGGTCGTTGTCCCTAAGCCACCTCAGGCTCAGGGCTGAGGCCCGACCCAGGCCTGGCTAATATTATTTCTGGCGCTGGCCATCAGATGCCTCTCATGGCCCAGAGGAGTTCTCCAGGTTGCCGATTTGCGGGGATGAACGAGGCCCTCCTGGCGTAGGTTCAGACAGGGTGGCGGAGAGGCAGCACCAGGGTGGTCAGCCACCGATTATTCACTTGAACTTGAGTGGTTCCCGCGAATTTGTCCAAACTAGAGACAAGAAGGACAAGTTCGAGTCTTCGACTCTTTCGCGAGCCCGCGCCCTCAGCCCCTTGCTGTCACTTGCCTTTTTTGTTGTTGTTGAGACGGAGTTTCACTCTTGTTACCCAGGCTGGAGTGCAGTGGTACTGTCTCGGCTCACTGCAACCTCCGTCTCCCGGGTTCAAGCGATTCTTCTGCCTCAGCCTCCCGAGTAGCTGAGATTACAGGCGCCCGCCACCACGACCGGATCATTTTTGTATTTTCTGTAGAGACTGGGCTTCACCGTGTTGGTCAGGCTGGTCTTCAACTCCTGACATCAGGTTATCCGCCCGCCTCGGCCTCCCAAAGTGCTGGGATTATAGGCATGAGCCACCGCGCCCGACCTGTCTCTTGCTTTAAAAAGCTCCACCAATGTGATGTTTCCTTTTCCATCAGTAGTAAATATAAGAGGCCGCAGGGAAAAATGACATAGAGAGAAAGAAGGTGGCGTTCCTAGAGGACTCAGAAGAGCTGGGGACCCTTAGTTCCCATGGTCTTTACTAGCTTTTCTAGTCCTTTTCGTGTAATGCACACCCCCGCTTCCAGGCGAGGGGCTGCTTTCTGTGAGCTTCCCTGAGCAAGTCCCCAGGCCCTCAGTTTGTGCACCTTTTAAAGTGAGGACCAAATATAATATTAACTATTAAGGAAAATAATGCTCTATTTCTTTTTTTTTTTTTTTTTTTTTTGAGGCGGAGTCTCGCTCTGTCGCCCAGGCTGGAGTGCAGTGGCGCGATCTCAGCTCTCCGAAACCTCCACCTCCCGGGTTCAAGCGATTCTCCTGCCTCAGCCTCCCGAGTAGCTGGGATTACAGGCATGTGACACCACGCCCGGCTAATTTTTTGTATTTTTAGTAGAGACAGGGTTTCTCCATGTTGGTCAGGCTGATCTTGAACTCCCGACCTGAGGTGATCCGCCCGCCTCGGCCTCCCAAAGTGCTGGGATTACAGGTGTGAGCCACGCGCCCGGCCTATTTATTTGTTTTTGAGGCGGAGTCTCTGTTACCCAGGCTGGAGTGAAGTGGCACCATCTCAGCTCACTGCAACTTCCACCTCCCGGATTCAAGGGATTCTCCTGTCTCAGCCTCCCGAGTACCTGGGATTACAGGCATGCGCCACCACACCCGGCCAAAGTTTGTATTTTTAGTAGAGATGGGGTTTCACCATGTTGGCCAGGCTGGTCTCGAACTCCTGACCTCGTGATCCACCCACCTCGGCCTCCCAGAGTGCTGGGATTACAGACATGAGCCACCGCTCCCGGCCTTCAATTTTTTAAAGTTTTGTTCATACTATTGTGATAAAATCTTTGCCTGACTCATTATTTTCTTAATGTGACTCCCAGAAGTGAGATTTGTAAAGTCCAGTGGTTTGGGGCTTTAAGAGCTCTCATAGGCCGGGTGCGGTGGCTCAAACCTGTAATCCCAGCACTTTGGGAGGCCGAGACGGGCGGATCATGAGGTCAGGAGATCGAGACCATCCTGGCTAACACGGTGAAACCCCGTCTCTACTAAAAAATACAAAAAACTAGCCGGGCGAAGTGGCGGGTGCCTGTAGTCCCAGCTACTCGGGAGGCTGAGGCAGGAGAATGGCGTGAACCCGAGAGGAGGAGCTTGCAGTGAGCTGAGATCCGGCCACTGCACTCCAGCCTGGGTGACAGAGCAAGACTCTGTCTCAAAAAAAAAAAAAAAAAAAGAGCTCTCATAGCTGCCATGTTGCGACATAGCCTAATGGTTACCAGCATAAAGCTCTGAAACCAGAAACCCAGCAGTTCAAACTGGCTGAAGGAAAAGGGGGACTTCTGTACAGTGCTTGGGAGAGGCACAGGGGCGCTCACAGACCAGAAGGGGCACCTACAGAGTGCAGGACCTCAGGAATGGAGCTAGAACACTGTGCTGCCAGCACTTCTCTTCTCCTTGTCTCATTTCTGTTTGCCTGCATTTGGCCTCCCTTTTGTTGTGGAGGAGTCTTTGTCAGGTAGTGAGGAAGTTCGGGGTCTACCCTCCTTCACAGCTTCCTAATGCTGCCTGCTCCTCTGCAGGATACTCACCCTCCCCATAGTCCACCAGGGCACTGCAGGGCCCTTTGCTTTTCCTGGCTGTGGGGAGCTCTGGATCTGACCTCCAATCCAGGAGGTTGTGCTGAAGCTGAATGCGTGCTTTGGAGTGGGGTGTGAGGGACACTTGTGTCTCACTCCTTTCCGACCCCTCACAAAAACCCATCCCTGGTTGCCTTGCCTTGATATCTCTCGCTTCCACTTCCAGGAGCCAGGGTGAAATAGGAGAACTGCAAAAGCCTAAGAAAGGATGGCCAGGTGCGGTGGCTTATGCCTGTAATCCCAGCACTTTGGGAGGCTGAGGCGAATGGATCACCTGAGGTCAGGAGTTTGAGACCAGCCTGGCCAACATGGTGAAACCCTATCTCTACTAAAAATACAGCCGGGCATGGTGGCGGGCACCTGTCATCTCAGCTACTCAGGAGGCTGAGGCAGGAGAATTGCTTGAACCCGGGAGGTGGAGATTGCAGTGAGCCAAGGTCATGCCATTGCACTCCAACCTGAGTGACAGTGTGAGACTCTTGTCTAAAAAAAAAAAGAGGCCATGTTGGTGACCCCCAGTGTTGGCTTGATCCCCAGCCAGGACTGGCCACATAAGAGACAGAGTAGCAAAGGCACTTGATCCCCTCAGTTTGGACTTAGGGCAGCAAGTGAGTCACTGACCACAAATTGTTCTTTCCTGTGGTAGTTTTGATCTATTATTTTTTCATCTCCAGAGTTTAAAGTTTATATATACAAAGTTTATCTATTATATTTTATTTTTAAAAAAAATAAAATGGAAATAAAAAAGAACAAAAGAGAAAACAATGACAAAAAATAAAAACAAAGTAAGAAAACAGAAAAAAACAAATATATATATATATATATATAAAATATAATAGAGATGAGGTCTCACTATGTCAGTCTAGGTTGATCTTGAACTCTTGACCTCAAGCAATCCTCCCTCCTCCGCCTCCCAGTGTTAGGATTACAGGCATGAGCCACTGCAGCCAGTCTGTTACCTATTTCATATGTAGATAAGCCCATTTTATTCTCTTTTAATGACCTTGCTGACTCTAAAGACCCATTTCCTCGGTGCTGTGGCCTCTGCCTTGGTTTCCAAGGCAATCACATCTGATACCTGTGGAGTTCCTCTGAACCGAAGTTGAGGAGAGGAGAGGGGAAGCCCTTCATTCCCACCCAGCCACCCTAAAGGACACCCCTAGCCTTGCACTGCCATCCTGCCATGGGACATACTCAGTCTCTGCTGGCACTTGTCTCCTTGGGCACCCACTACTCTTTTGCTGTCTCTGAACAGACATATCCACAAGGCTGCCAGGACTGCCCACCTTCACCCCTCTACTCCCATCCTCTCATCCACCAGTCATGTTCAGCTGTTCGTGCCCTTCCTCCCTCTTCACTCCCCTCTGTCCTGCCTGATGGCCCCCTCCAGCTGTCTCAGACAAAATGGATGCTGCTTCACTTCTGTCTACTTCTTCTGCTTCTTCACTATCAGGGCCTCAGGGCCTCCCTCTAAACAGCAGGCCAGTCTCTCCTATCTCTAAACAGCAGGCCAGTCTCTCCTAAAAACTGAGATGACCTAGGAAATGAGAGAAAAGCCTGTGCTGCTCCCAGATAAACAGATGGCGAGTGCCTTGGCCCTCAATCCTCCGTGTCCTAGGAGCCTCTCCAAAGAGGCACATTTTTGAGTGCATTTTTGCATTCTTTTTGTTATTGCATAAATGATATGTGTTTATTTTAGAAAAAATAGAAATGAGATCAAATGGAAGGCCGGGTACAGTGGCTCATGCCTGTAATCCCAGCACTTTGGGAGAACAAGACAGGTGATCATTTGAAAACAGGAGTTCCAAACAAGCCTAGCCAACGTGGCAAAACCGTGTCTCTACTAAAAATACAAAAATTAGCCGGGCATCATGGCCTATGCTTGTACTGCCAGTTATTCTGGTGGCTGATACACAAGAATCGCTTGAACCCAGGAAGCAGAGGTTACAGTGAGCCGAGATTGTGCCACTGCACTTCAGCCTGGGTGACAGAGTGACACTCTGCAAAAAAAAAAAAAAAGAGAGAGAGAGAGAGAACAAATGGAAAAACGTTGTTTTCAATCCTACCACATAGATTTAGAACCAATGTGACCCTTTTGGAGTGTAACTCTCTTCGCTTCTTTCTCCTATGCAGTAGGCACATTAAAACTTGATTTTGGCCGGGCGCAGTGGCTCATGCCTGTAATTCCAATACTTTGGAAGGCTGAGGCAGGCGGATCGCTTGAGCTCAGGAGTTCGAGACCATCCTGGGCAACATGGCAAAACCCTGTCTCTACCAAAACAAACACATAAATAAATAAATAAATAATAAAAATAAAAAATTAGCCAGGTGTGGTGGTACGTGCCTGTAGTCCCAGCTACTCAGGAAGCTGAGGTGGAGGATCAGTTGAACCTGGGAGGTGGAGGTTACAGTGAGCTAAGATCCTGCCACTGCACTCTAGC